ACAGGGTACCTCAGGCCTGACCGCTTGACCAATTAATATCTTACAATTAATTAAGGTTTTCAGTTGAGATAAAAAAGCCAATGGCACGAGCGGGATTGTTTAAAATGAAGTATACTTCACTAAAGCTCTCCGTGGCCATTTCATTTGTCGACGAGAATCAAATTGATTACACGACATTTGAAAAATGGCAAAAAGGAGGGAAAATTCGAAAGGTGTGGTTGAGATGGGAGGTTGGTGTCCGAGTGGATGGAGGTCACGATAGCTCAGCGGCGTATCAAGCCGAAGATCGTGGGTTCGAATCCCGCTCGTGCCATTGACTTTTTTTATCTCAACTGAAAACCTTAATTAATTGTAAGATATTAATTGGTCCAGCGGACCACGAAACTAGTGAATTGGAAACAATGGTCTAATCGAATTTTAATTGGTCAAAAAATGACAATGTTATGGCAAAAAGAAACCGTCAGCGTAAATTCGACGAGGAGCTGAATATTTTACTAAATGTTAAAAAAAAATCCGAATGCCTCTCTACGAAATGTTGGAAGGGTTTTATGTTTTTTAAAAAGTAAAATTAGACATGTACTCCGGACTTACAGTTTTAAGCTGCATACCTTTCATCTTGGCCATGGACTTCGGGACTCTTGAGGATGACAGGCGTCTAACGTTCCTTGTACAAATGTCGATTTGGGAGGGTGAAGAAAATGTTCTCCCATACATCCTTTGGACTGACGAATCCAAATTCAGCTCTAATGCCATACTAAACCGTTGGAATTTTCGACGTGGGCAGAGGATCGCACTCTTGTCATCAGGTGGTTCACAGTATGAACACACGTCTGGTGTGACGACTTTTTTATCTCAACTAAAAAACCTTAATTAATTCTAATATATTAATTGGTCAAGCGGATCACGAAATTAGTGAATTTATTAATTAAGTTTATTTTGTCAGATTTAAGTCTAAAGATAGTTGTACAAGAACATGCGAAAACGAAAAGAAAAATTACATTACCAAAAAGGAATTTAATTTGATTCCTTTTTTGTGATAATTTTTTTTTTTTTGATGCTTCAGAAGTGCCATTTGCAGAAGTGGTGAGCCGGTCGATAAAATTTTGACGAAGATCTGGGATGTATTGACTTTTGCACAATTTTTTGGACTATTCAAGACTCTTGACTTACGAAAATAAAAACATAGTTGTTTACAGATTTTTGTTATCCTTCGAGAACATTTTTCCCTAACTTTTTTTTCTTCTTCTTTTCCCTTTTTTTCTAGTAGAGAAGACTTCCTTTTTAAAGTAGGCTGGCCACCAACTTTTCAAATTAGAACTAACCACCAGCTGTTGAGAATTTATTGTATTGCCAATTCTATTTGAAGAAGTTAGAGGGACACATTTTGAAAACGAGTCATCACTGAGAATTTTCAAATTGCACTGCCTTGGAAAATTGTGTTTGACCCCCATTGTCATTTGGAACCTAAGCGTGGATGTCATAGGGATATAAAACTGTCAAAAAGATGATTTTAAAAAACTGACCTCTTGTCAAAATGGCAAGAATTATTCAATACAGGGTGTCAAATTATTAGTGTTGTATGCAGTTTCAGAAAACCGGTGGAGATGCAAGCAAGTTGACACCTTGTATTATAAATTCCATAAAATTGTTCAGGAAATCGTGATCGAAATTATTCCCCTGGAAAAATGTCCGATGAGCTCGTGAGTCAGTTAATAATCAAACTCAATTGCACTATTTTCCATTACAGTTGAATAAAATATTGCCAACTGGGATAAAAACTGTGTGAATTAGTTGGCCGTTTGGCTGTAATTTAATCGTCCGGCGTTTCTCTTCTTGAATTTTTTAAATGATTTTCACTTACTATTTTTACGTTCGTGATAGTGATGGCCCACAATGGTTGAATAATTGAAAGGAGTATTCATTTTTACTAAGTTACCGCTATGTTAATTCCAGATTAATGTTTGTTTCGATTTTTTTAAAAACACTTTTGAAAATATGACGGTTGTTTTGTTTTAATTGATGTAAAATTATTCATGTAGTATAATACAGTATACAGGGTGTCCCGTGTACAGGCGTCAAATTCTTCAGTAGGTTTCAAAAAAAATGTTCTGGAATAAAAAGTCAAAATTGGAGATATTTTTTCTTTTTAGGTTATTTAAACTGTTCACAACTTTAATAATAAATTCCCTCACATCTCATTAAATCTTACTCCTACTTTAAATTTGTTTACATCAATGACAAGAGTATTGAAAACATTGAGATATTTATTTGTTTTTTCATTGTAACCTTAAGCAAACAAAATATGAAATTCCTCACAATATAATGTTTAGGTATACGGGGCGTCAGTGGCCGCAACGGTTTAGGTGTTGACACGGCGCTCATCACTGTAAGGTAAAGGTCCCGGGTTCGAATCCAGCGGCCCTGCATACCCGGGGCACCCCAAGGGTTCATCACCAACTCTCTTAGCCTAAGGTCGTGGGTTCGAATCCCGCTCGTGACACTGACTTTTTTTTATCTCAACCAAGACCTTACATAAAACGAATAAATTAATTGATAGAAGTAACTTGTGTGGAGTTTCAATCTTCATGGAGGTCATTAGACAGGCAAAGAAAGAAGAAGACTAATTGTTGGGTTCACCAAGCTTTCGGCAACTTATAGTGCCATCATCAGGGCTTTCCCAAGAGTGCAGAAAACGATTAACATGGAAAAAACTATTGTAAAAGCGTTTTGGGTTTAAAGTTATGAAGCACATGGCCAGCATACTTCATTTAACATGGTGAAAACAGTCATCTCGCTGATAAAAAAATCCATATGACTAAGGTTCAACAATTTTGTTCTGACTAGCAATTTCTTACAGGTAACATTTATGATCACAGAGAGTATTTTGACTAAAAGAATAGCTATTTATAAAAACTATGTACACAGGATTAACATTAATGAGAGAGAGAGAGAGAGAGAGAGAGAGAGAGTGAGAGCGACAACACCATCGCCTCAGGTTGGACTTGAGACTAGTTAGTTTTTTTTAGTTATTTTATATAGTTGATATATTATTTTATATAGTTATATTTTTATATATATTTTTTTCCATGTTAATCGTTTTCTGCACTCTTGGGAAAGCCCTGATGATGGGACTATTGCTGAAAACTTGGTGAACCCAACAATTAGTCTTCTTCTTACTTCACCTGTCTAATGACCTCCATGAAGAATGAAACTCCACATAAATTATCTGCAGGTCGATCAACAAACATCGTATCTTCAGAAGTAACTTGGTCAATTGACCACTAAAATATAAATGGGTGTAATTTAAAATTTAGAAATCTTTTGTTATTGTATGCCCAATTTTGAACTAAATAGTCGTTTCTGTTTACTTTGGTTACTTGCGTTATATTTTAGTGGATGTTACATCTTCATTTGGCTTGGGTCAAAGAGCGTGAACGCTTTGAACATTTTATTTAATTATTAGAAGTTTTCTTTTTTTAATGCTCAATTTTGAACCAAAGAATCTTTTTTGTTTACTTTTATTACTTTCATAATTTTTTAGTAGAAGTTTCACCTTCTATCGCTTGCATTCTCAAAGAGTTTCTAACATTTAATTGTTATAAGTTTTTTGTTTTTTCTTATGCTCAATCAACTTTTTGTTTACTTTCTATTACATTCATTTATTTTTTGATCAGTGATCTGGTATAAACTCAGCTAATTTAGTAGAACTGGACCCCTGAACGAAAACAAGGTTGAAATGTTTTCGGCATTTGGTCCATTTTGATGTGTGATAAAATTTTGCTGTTCATAACACTTTCAAAACCTTAGAACCCTTAGATTTTAATTTTAGAAACTTGGCAAAGCGTTGGCCCCTCAAAGACTCTCGAGAATTTTCCTTGCTTGAACACAATCATCAAACTTGTTGGACTGATTGTTTTTTCGACCTGAACCTCCAAGGAATATCATAAGCCTTTATTACAAGGACAAAAAATATTCTAAAATTTATCAAATGGCAGAAAACGGGACTATTTTAAGCCTAGTAAAAATGATACGAGAATCTTGAGGCATTTAACTATCGAGGTCTGTTCACGGGATACCCTGTATAGAGCGAACGTCTCTTCTATAATATCCACTACAGTTTGTTATGTATCGTGTTATTGAAAATTTTATGTTAAAAGTATATGCAGGATAATAAATGTGTCCCTTTGTCCGGTTTAATTGAGAAACATCATCATAAAAAGGTTAAACAACATCGGACTCAAAACACACCCCAGGCAGACACAGAAACCTAATTTCTGTTTACTCCCAAGTTGACTGCGAACAAAATCGTATTATGCTTACATAGGAATGACATAAAGATACGATGATTTGTTTACTATAAAAAATTAAAATACATCTCAATAAATCTATTTGTGTGTCATTGTATTCATATATTCGTGGCATTTGGTCCTATTTATAACTTCATTTTCAAGCGTTTTGTTTATTTTTGCAATTCTGCTGTCTGTTAACGAGACGTACAGCATCGAAAATTATTTTTTTCTATGAGTTACTCTTAAGTGAAACAGTTCTATTGTTGAATTTGTCTTTCTTTACTTAATATTGTTTAAACAAACAGCGTAGCGGACCAGGTAATGAACAAATATCTACAATTTTATGTACAGATTTATCAATTATCTCGGACCTGGCTATGAATTAATCATTATAATAACCGAGATAAAACATAATCACATACCGATTGTTAAATTTAATTTTTCTTTTGAGTAATTATTTCATCGACGACATCTGATATCGGGTTTCGATCAATTGAAAAAAATAGCGATGTGACCTCATAGTTGGATTTATTTAGAAAAAGATAAAAGGAAAATTCCAAGCAATAAATGAAAGAAGCCCCTTGTATTTTGTTCTAACCTGACATAAACATCCAGAATTTCCCGGGAAGGAATATGTAAACTTATTGCTCTGTGATGAGTTCCTTCCGAGATTTGGCCCAATCCAATCGTAATTTAAATCCGATAGATTTAAAATTTGTCGACCTATTCAGTCGAGAGTTCGATTATAAATTAGTCAGTTTTAACAAAGCTTTTATCGGGCACACTACTGAACTGTCAACAATCGTGTAAGTTTCTTTCTCACAATGACATCATTGTAGGATTTTACATTGAAAGAATATCGTACAATACAATACACGACAATTTCGTTAATTATAAAACCTATATTTGAAATATTCAAAGTCATTTCTTACGATTTACCTTTCTTTTAAATGCACTTAATTCACTATTATTTATTATTAGTTTCTATTCTTTTTATTTTATTGTTGCAAATGTACAAGTGAACATCTTTAAAAAAAATATCAATCTATTGTTGAAAATTTGTATTAACCCCGAATTATTAATCAATTATACTCTTTCCAGCCTTTTATTCTTAATGCTATCTCTTAAACAATTTGGCACTTAAAAATTGTAGAATTGGTTAGATATTAGATATCTTAGATCCGGGTGTCCCAGTTTCGTCTGACGAAACTGAGGGAATCGATTCTACTCTTCGTTTAGAGCAAAAAATGCCCAGGAGAAAATTTTCGGAAAGTTCTCTATTTTGAAGATATTCGTCAATTTAGGTTTTTTTCAACTTTTCACTACCTTACCACTTAAAACCGCTTACAACTTCCAAAATGTTGAGACTACAACAAATCCAATTACACCATTTGAAAGAACGCTAAATTTGATTTTAGATACGTCTATTTGCAATAATCTGAATGACATAAAATGTTAGCCAATATCAATTGGAACATGTCAAAATTACAAAATTTAAAATTTTGGTCATGATTGCACGTTTTACTGAGGTTACACAAAAATACCTACAACTTGTCAAATTTTACAAAAACGTCTTCATCTAATATGCTTTACGTTGATATATCCACGTTTTTAAATAAAGTTAAGCAAACTTATTGAATTGAACATTAGTGAACTGACACGAAACTCAAGAGACAGACGGATTTCTTGGAAAAATTGAACGTGCCTCCCTTCATCGACACCAGTTTTTTGTCAACAAAATGGAAAATTTGTGGGCCTTCCAAAAGCGCAATCCAAAAAGGTATACCGCTGGAAACTAAGAGAATTGGGAACTTTTGAGGGACTTTGCAAAGCTCCAGGAGATTGTAGATAACAGTTACCAATCCAACCTTTTCAAAAATTTCCAAATTTCATCATTTTTAAGTTGTAAGATACGCCAATGGATTATCGATGCCGCCTGAAAAATTCGCGAAATTATCTCGTTTGGGGTTATTAAAAACGGAGAAGGTTTTTCCGAAACCGGTTCGTTCGACCTCAAAGATAGAGTTAGTAGTTCTAGTAGAATTGAAAAATAACAATTGAATGTTCGAAAACGTGAGCTAAGGTAAATTTGAAGGGGGTTAGAAATAAGTCAATTAGAACTCGCCTTGTAAAATAAAAACGACACATCTATAATCTCATAAAAGCCATACCAGAAAGCTTCATACAATCAAATGCAATACAACGTCGATCCCATCCAGCATTTTTCATTCAACCGGTCAAACAAGTGTCATTTTTATTTTACAAAGCGAGTTCTAATTGATTTATTTCTACCCCCCCCTTCAAATTTACCTTAGCTCATGTTTTCGAAAATTCAATTGTTATTTTTAAACTCTATTAGAACGTTATTTAAAAACCTGGATATATCAACGTAAAGCATATTGAAGAATGTTTATGAAGAAGTTTTTGTGAAATTTGACAAGTTGTATATATATATATATATTTTTGTAACCTCAGTAGAACGTGCAATCATGACCAAAATTTTAAATTTTGTAATTTTGACATGTTCCAACTGATATTGGCTAATATGTTATGTCATTCAGATTATTGTAAAGAAGTATCTTACAGCAAATTTAGCGTTCTTTCAAAATCTGTAATTGGATTTGTTGAAGTCTCAACATTTTGGAAGTTGTAAGCGTTTTTAAGTGGTAAGGTAGTGAAAAGTTGAAAATACCTAAATTGACGAATATCATCAGAATAGAGAACTTTCAGAAAATTTTCTCCTGGGCATTTTTTGCTCTAAACGAAGAGTAGAATCGATTCCCTGAGTTTCGTCAAAAGGAACTGGGACACCCTGTATATAGATATCTTATTATAATAACATAAGTATAAATCATACCATCTTTATGGGTTTTTTTTCTTCAATAATAAAACAGAGTCTTAGGAAAGGGATTTTTCTCTACACACTCAGTTCTACCCTCTCAATCTCTAATAAGGGTGTTCCGGTAAACCCTCCCCCCCAATTGCAAATAGCTCGCAAGGGACAAGAGATAAAATGCCGTAAAATAAAACGACAATCGGTTAAAACCTTAAGCTTGTTATAAATTTTATGAAAATATCAGAACATGAATTAGGCGCCTTGTCTGGTTGGTGACGCTGAATTTCTCTATCTTTTTCTCTCTCCTCGCCATGCTTATAACCCTGAAGTTCCTGAATCTTCAATTGTTTAGGGAATAGATAAACCCTGTCCAAGTTGTCTGAGTGATTAAAAGTAAAAGAAAAAATTAATAATCTATACCCAACCCTGAAGGCTTTTATGTGCCTGTTTTTTTGTATTTTTTTCAAAAATATTATAAAAGCAAGGATTAATTATCATTAATATTTTTAACTTAATAGTTGTGAATGTTGTTGTATGGTTGAGGTTCAGTATGTCCTCCTTTTTTCCTTTTGTCGATAGGTGTCCCTCAGGGCTACAACCCTAGCCCTTAGTTGTTTACCAAGTTTCTACAACTAAAATCTAAGACTTTCTAGAGAGCTATGAACAGCCACATTTATCCCACGTCAAAAAGAACAAGATGCCGAACTCATTTCCTTGTTTTATTAGATTTCACTCTATTTTCTTGTGAAGAAGCTTTCAATTTAAATTTAGTTGAAAAGTGTAAACTTTTTTGACATGTTTGAATAACCGAAACCGGGCTGTCGGTCGGTGCGGACATGCCACCTTCTCTCCCAGTATCAATAGATGTCCCTTAGGGTCTCGCCCCATGCCCTTAGCAGTTTAGCAAGTTTCCAAAACTAAAATTAAAGACTTTTGAGAGGGTTATGAACAGCCAAATTTTACTCTACGTTAAAAACAAACAAAAGCTGAACGAATTTTATTCTGGTTTTCGTTCAGGAGACATGACTGCCCCAGCTCTACTAAAAATAACTGACAATTAGTTTATCCGTCGAAATCTGACCCAAGTAATTGTACAATCTTTGTTTTATTGAATTTCAATCACTTTTATTGTCAAAGTTTTCAATTTGAATTTAGTTCATCAGTATAAACTTGTTTTATCAGATTTTGATAATTGAATTCAGGCGGTACGCTATGGTGTGAGTCATGTCCTCTTCTCTCCTCTTATTAATAGGTGTCCTCAGGGCTCCATCCTGAGTCCATGGTTATTTGCACTGTTCATAAATGACATTTCAGCTTTTTTTAAATGTTCAAAATAACACCTTTTTCCTGATGGCTTTCAATTTTTTAAGCACTGAACAGGCCAGTTAATTTGATAACTTCAAAAAATAGTTGTAAAGCTTATTTCAATTATTATAGCTTAATCCAATAATAATTTGATTAGTGTTAATCCATTAAAATCACAAGTTACCGTCATTTTTCAAAATCATTTGGAAATTTCCTTACCACCAGTTTTGTTGTCTTTACTGAATCATTTTGTTCTGTAATTTTGGGTGTCCTTGGTCATAACATGGAGAAATACGAAAACGCGTTTGACTCAGTCCCCCCATTTCAAACTATTGGTATCAAAAAATAACACAGAACACTATGAACTACAGAAACTATAAATCAAAAGTGGCTTTTTCTGGGCCTAACACCTACCAGGTTCAGATAATACTAACTATTTTATAAAATAAATAAATTACTTTTCTGTCGTGTTAACAATGATATTTTTCATATCCAAAATCATTGGACAATGTAAAACAAATTTATCATGACAGATGTATCTATCATGTATCAATCTGTATTATTCATGAAATCTTTTTCTGATTGAATAACATTATCACGGAAAAAAAAAGTTTTTGTATTTATGATTATTACATTCGGTTTAGAAATGTTATCAAACTCTCGGTTTAATAATAAATTTCTGTTTGTGTGTGGAGGTTTTTCTCAGACGGAATCGGATGGAACTGTTTTCCAACTTGGCTAATAAACCATTTTCCGCACGAAGTTCAGACGTCGGTTTTCCCTCCCTCGGGCCACTCGTAGAGCAATAATGACAGAAAAAGCAATCAAAGTATTTTTGAGCTTGGTGGTAATTTAAAAAACGCTATCCGCACTCTCGAACAGAAACTTGGATGGTAAACAATTTCAAGACATCCAACCCTTTCGGACAATTTACCAATTATCACGGAATATATTCAAGGATCCTGTGATAGAATCAATTACGAATTTTTCCCACATTTCAGGGTGTTTTAATGTTCTAAGCTTTAAAGAAAAGCTATAATTGTAAACTGAATACCCAAATTATAAAGATCTATCTATCTATCCATGTATCTATCTAGCTGTCTATCTCTCTCTCTCTCTCTCTTTCTCTCTCTCTCTCTCTCTCTCTCTCTCTCTCTCTCTCTCTCTCTCCATTTACCTATCTCTCTATGTTTCTATCTATCTACTTATCCCGCTCTATCCTACTCACTCATTCACTTTCGTTCTGCTTCTTTGACATTATACTTACTTATGCCTAAGCTCACTCTTTCTTTATAATTTTTCAGACTTTTCACGCACATAAAGCATAATTAAAACGCTTAACATTCGGTTGTCATAATAATTATTTTTATTTTACTTTTGAAAATAGACTCAAGGTTTATGCTACATCTTGAATTTGAAAGCTTCGTGTTTCACCTCGACTGGAATTATAGCTAGAATATAATTATATAATATATATATTCTAGCTTATATTCTAATTATTATATATATAATTATATATATAATTTCTTGGAGTATGTACTTAATTATTGTAAAAAACTGTATCTTTCTAACGTGGCAAAAATTTCTGCGATCACAATAGACAGAGTAGCTGACTAATAGATGAATTTTTTAAGTCACCACGTATGCTCTTTTTGATTTTTGATG